ATCGGTGCGATCAAATTGTAGGAGGAGAGATGAGGTCATCGTGGCGGAAGCTGAGAATTTAATACACACCGTTTGACGTGACGTCGATGCCCTTTTCTTTATTCCTTATTCACACGATTTTCCATGCCTACCGATTCTACTAATCTTAAAATTGTTCGTATTTTTTCATCCCCCACGATGCTATTTAAATTACAATACTATGTAATTTAAAAATGATTTTATTACTATCCAGTATAACCAATTAATTGCATATTCCAATAATAATTGTATTAATTTTAAATATACAAAAAATTGTAATCGAGAAAAATGTATGAATCTTTTATTTGATACATTTTCTCGGATTGAGGTTTTTTCCTTTGTTGAATGTGAATATAAGATAAAATACTAATAAGACATATTCATTGATAAGCCGGTAAAAAATCTGACTTTATCTAAATGGAGAACAGAAACAGCAGTACCAGAAATATCACGAATGAATAAGTACATTTTTATAAGCTCGGATCGATAACCGAAATTGTCCTCCTCGCAAATGGAACGAGCGACGGAAAGCGAGTCAAGGTCTTCGCGATTACATCAATACGACGTTCGATCGGGATTGGGGGTTCTCGGGCAATTGTTTAACCGGGCCGCAATCACGGGGGCATATCTCGATGAATAAAGAGCGCGCAGCCGGAGGAACCATATAGCGTTTATAGCGACGCCGCCGCGGATTGCGATTCGTCCGTGGATCGAAATAAATTGTGATTGTCCCGACGCGTGATGGCGTCAAAGTTATTGCCGATTATTTTCTGCACCGTCTGGCATCGATGAAATCGTTAATCGATCGCCCGAACAGAGGAAAACGTTTTTTCATAAATCAATTCAGGTTTCATATGTGAAAATTCAAAACTCAAGACCAAATACTCGAGAAATTAATTCTATTTTGATTTTTCGTAAAACTAATTATTTGATGAATTGTATCATTCTCATTAGACATTATCTGTTTGTTAAAATACAATGAAATGTCGAGGAAATTCTTTATCACTTTATTCCCCTAATTATTCACTTGTGTTATGTTACGGAATATCGATGGAGTGAACAAGTTAGTCGTTGAGTTTAATGCCGTGTGCCTAGATGGCAACACGATGCCAACTTGGCAGTGACAGTGGCAGCGGGAGGATATTCAAAAGTAGTCACCGAGAAGCATAGGTCAAAGGGCAACTGGGCCATCTGCAACGGTCACGGTAATAACTTGTCATCTGTCAATTAAAACAATGGAAATAGCGACTAAATAATTGAATATCTACCCTATTCATATTTGTTAGAAATAAAATCGAGTTGGATTGCTAAAATAGAGAATGTCATATTTTAATTTAAGTTAACGTTTTGGGTGTCACGTTTCCGGTAACTTGAAATAATGTATACCAAACTGACGAATCAATATCGCCAATTGATTATTAATATCGGACTGCAGTATGAATTCTGCGTGAAATATGATGAAATTAATCGGTTATTATGTACACTAGTTTCGGTTAACCCTGGTTTTGATTAAGCCATACTCGTATTCTGTATTAATTTGGTTCATGTGTTTCCAAATTATTTTCCGTTTATTAACATACGAATAGATTTAGATCAGATCTCGCAAGGAACGGGCAGGAATTTCAATAAACAGTTTCATAATATTAATTCCTGGTTAATCTAATTCTCAACTAGTATGAGATCAACTTAATGAAAATAATTGTAAATATCCTTTCTGTTATGAACAATGAATAAAAAAAGAAAGACTTCTTGAAGGAAATACATAATGTCAGATTTATAAACGAATACGAAATTTTTTTCACATAAATACGATAAGCAAAGCTAGAGAAAAGATAGTCGGTCCTGATGTTAGTATCTATTGGTATGGACGTACAAATAAATCCACCGCGCAAAGAGAAATTGGTGACCGTCGGCAATTTTTTCACGGGAAAATTTCGGACCGATTTCCATCGCAATTCATCGAGTAATCCCTGTCTGCGCATATTGATGCGAGCTAACCCCGGCCCCGGCGGTCGCCTCGCTTGTCTTCGCACGTTTTCGCAATTCGCAAAATAGGCCGCAGCGTGGCCAACGATTACGCGCTCCCATTTTACCTACCCCGTTCCCCGAAAACTCTGTTCCCACAGATTTTTGAACTGTCAGCAAACGAAGCAAAGATAAACACGCAACCGTTCGCTAAACCTCTATGCACTAGCGATTTTGAAACAAGGCAAGCATAATTTTGAATGAGCTCAGTGAACAACGTGACACTGTTGTGAAAATTGACTTTTATTTAGCAATTCCTTAGTTCGAGTAAATAGGATATTGTCTTTATTGTTTTATTTATATTTTATATTATACATATTTTAGAAAATGAGATAATTTAATAGATACGAAAAAAATACATCCAGATGCGAGTTTAATTTTGATGATATCGAACGCAGTTATTCTGTTTTATTAACACATTTATAATTTCCACGAGTTTTTAACTTGTGAATCTCTCGCGAACGAAGAGTTCCTGAATCGAGTTATTGCCTATTAAATTCGTAATAAAACCATCGGACTCTGTGTTTTTATCGATCAACAGAGATTACTGCCGAACGACTTTCGACTTAAAATAGAAGAATGTGCTGCGAATATTCGGTCATCTATCGAATGGATTGCATCGGTATGCGTGGAAAATAAAGATCTAATGCATGCACGGTACAACGGCCTTCATCCAGGAAATACGTTCGCATTGATGTCCCGGTACCAGCGATTTCTATGGAGCCGCGATTGTTTGAATTTTAATTAAAAAACAAGAATAGGCAGCCGTTTTACACGTGTACATTTTGTACATTGGCCCGTTATTCCATACGCTTCCATCCGACTGTGAAATTCACAGGGGAAAAATACACGTTTTGCTGTATTAATTTCCTGCCTCTCGCTAAATCCAGTATATGTATAGCGTATATGTATGTATTTCATTGACGCCTAAACAACTGCTGCAGCGGCGGAAAAAGAATTGATAAAAAAAATATCCCGCCATTGGTGAATGACATTTGACCTCACGAGTCAAGTGACGTCAAGTACACAGATGCTTATCGACGTTCTATGCATTCCGGATTCGCGTTTCGTACAGTTTTTCACTGTTAGTTATATTTTTTGCAATTTTCTATAAAAATATCCGTCTACGCGCGATAAAGTGGTCTATTCGGGAGACTGAAAGATTTATGGAGACAATTACAGGAAGTGGGCCACGTTATAATCTTTTTCTTTCAACGAGAACGGGAAGGAAAGTCCGAGTGATTTAGTGAGGACCACCCTTCCGTCCTCAGGCCAAATGTATGATAATGTATACAATTGCATACTTTTCATTAAACGTACATAAATAATTATACCAGTTTATGTATAAAATTACTTGATTAGAACAGTAACACATAACACATAATTATTAAAATGACATTTCTTATGCAAAATTCAGATTTTTTAAATGTGGCATAATTTTTCATTCTTATAGACAGTGAACAATTTAAGTATATTACTGTGTCACACTGATGGAAGGTTTTAAGAACTTAATTTATCGTCTCCATGTTCTCATCTTAAAAAATACACTGTTCAGAACTAGATCAAAATTCAAAATAAACGATCGCATTGAAACATCGCGTCTATTTCCCATGCTGGGATACAAAATTATTAAACAGAATGCAACGCGCAGCCACTATTATACGTTCGATACGTTATTCACGACGCTGAGAGATGTAGCATTGGTTTATACGGGATTTCCATCGGAGTGCAAAGCAGGAGCGGGTTTTTAAGAGAGAATAATGCATCGAACAGCGGCCGTCCGATTTATTATTTAACCCTGACGATTATAACGAGTTACGAAGGACGCTGAATAATGGAGACCCGGTCAGGCTACCTGTTTTCCGTACAATGGAAAATGAATGCACAATGCTCGCGTATCGTGTCGGTAGTGGAAATTACGTTTGCTAATCGTAGAACGCGGATCCTCAATTACGTTCGCCGCGCGCTGCCGCGGCGATGAAACGGAAACAAGTCTAGCTATTATTTAAGAGCGTGTTCGAGTTAGTTCGGTACATTTTGAAATATTTATCGTGCTAAATTTTACGAAATTGATGATCGTTTATTGTTACCGAAATAAGTTCATGCGAACTTGTAAAATGAAACATGATTTCACGTGTGAAATCACACAGCCTTACAGGAAACGTGCAGCAGCTGTTATTAAAAATAACAGAGAAATGTATCAAGAGAATAGTAGGTACTTTCAGAGAGGCTGGTTTCGCACGCGGTGCATGCGAAGAGAGAGTGTATTTTCAAAGAATTAAAGCACAAAAGTTTCAAAGCTTTTAATCCGGGAAAAAAAAACGAAATTTCTACTGTAGAGAAAAGGAAAGATGTTAGTCAGTGAATAATTATTGTAATACACGCAGGTATAATTATGAAGAATAATTATCGTAACTACAATCTTAAAAAATGCTCTTAAATACGCATTATACATCAACAAGTAGTGTGTGTGATGAAAAAGTGAGAGTCAAGAAAGATGATTAATGTATGATCAAAGAACTGAAGAATCTTATTCAAGAATCAACAGGAATATTTCTGGATAAGATAAACCAAAGTTTACTACTACAGATGAAAAATTCGTAAAGAGTCCACAAGAACATGCGTATAAAAAATAAAAGTATTGATTTCAAGCGGGTGTGCATTACATTCGATGGAGCAATCGCTGTTAGGGAAAGCATTTAAAAAAGCAACTTAGGGCATTAGCTGCGAAAGAAGAAAAGAGGACGCTCACCCCCGCATAGTTGAACCGATAAAAAAAGACAAAGAAACTTGCGGCAAATCCATTAAGCGAGGGCCGCGAGAATCTCGCGGTTAGGTCGTCGGAATCAAATCTTCGGAGGCAGCGGGTGGATTCGTTCGGTAGCGGGTTTCGCCGTTCAATTAACGTAATCGCGCGGTGCGCACGCTACAAAAAAGATCAATTCAATTCCGCAGACCTCTTAGTCCGCCGTGATTGCCTCGTTCCTCCCTGGAGAGGTCTCATCGGAATCCCTGCTGGCCGCCCTGTGCAATCTCGCGAAAAAGTCACCCCTCCGAAGGAGGCGAGGAGCGGGAGTTGGCTTCTTTCGGCCGCGAGCCGGTCGTTCGAGTCGAAACGCGCGCAAGAGAATCGCGGGATTCATTATTCACGGCTTTAGCCCCGTTCTCGCTGGTGTTCCTAATGAAAGATAAACATAATCAATCCCACAGCTCGGCCGAAAGAGGGAATATTATATCGCGTGGTCGTGTAATTTCGTGGCCTGCCACCCCCGGCGCAACGGCCGCGACCGACTCGCCACTCGTGTTTTCGTTTCATTATACCGCGCCCTCCGCCACCGGTCATCATCCCGCTAATTATCCGTTCAAAGCCTCGGATTCGCCCTGTCCTCGATCCTCCCCTTCGACCCATCCTACCCTTCACGATTTATATGTCGAAAAATTCACAGGCTAAAACAATCGTCCACGGATGGGTTTAATACGATTCTATGGGAAGGTAGATACATAGATTACTCTTGGCACATGGGTGAAATACAGTGACGCGGATATGTGTTATTGTTTGAAAAGAATTATTGTTTCTCGTTGCATCGAGAGACTAGAGAATCAAAATGAATTGCAATAGTGATGTTTTTATCCACTGCACCAGTAAAAGTAATAGCATCTTTATTTTTGTACTGGGATCTCTAATTTTTTTACTTACGCAGGTAATATATTACCCGAATTGATTGAATTGAATTGAATTTTTAAATTAAATAGATCAGACAATGAAAAAATCCTTAGTATTTTAACGTTTGTTATGAATCTTACATAAACGATAAATGTAAATTTCGAATTTTTGTTATTAAATTCTAAACCGAACTACGGTGCACAAAAATTTTGTTTATGACGTATTTGACAAAATCCGTCGGATGCGGACGTTGTCAATTTTCGAGCTCGTATGAAACGCGTTCGGGACAGACGCGCGTTCACCTCGAAGCGAAATGAATGACGTTAATATTGCATTACCGGGTCTTTGTTCCATCGCGCGGCTGTCCGGCGTTTGTTAGATTTCCGGAGTCGATCGAAAAATCATCCGCTGGCTATAGAATTGTCAAATCCACGTCACATCCTGTCTATAGTAATAAATGAACTGTCGAACTCGGCAGCGTGTCGTGCCGCTACATTTACTCAACGTCCCCTAATTAACAACGTTGCCTGGTCAAATAGAAAATTACACGACCAAGAATCGCCGTGAGTGAATGATGTTTCGACGGCGCTAATGACGTTCCGGTATGCGCGGCGAAATTGATGACCCAAGGGTGCAGATTAAAGATTGGCAAATTTTTAAGAAGATTTATGATTTTCAGAGCCGTCATTCCTAAATCCATTCAAATGTAGGTCAGATTTTTTTTATTAAGCGTAAGAATAAATATTTGAAATTATCAAATGATATTATCCAAAATTTTGATCTGATGTACGCAAGTTTTAGAAATTCTGTTTTATTTAAGCTAAATCTATAATCAATTAAAATAAATATTAGGCTACTATCAATTTTCATCTAAATAATTGTTTTCAAAATTACATTTGAGAAATTACTGTCTCAGACTTTACGAAAATCAAACATAATACATTGTGTTCTATGATCTGCGACCATAAATCATTGTATCACATTTAACAGGAATGTTATCTTGCTTATTAGATTAATAAATTTTCCAGGGACCACGAATCTCGCAGCGAGTCGTCGGAAACCGTGAATTCCTTAATTCACCCTCCCGTTACGTTGCGTTCCCGGTTTCGCAGCTATCACGGATTCGCGGCAATTTATTTATCGGAACGAGAACAGTCGCCGCGAGCCGAATAGTACCGGGTGTAACATAAATCACCGGGAAGCATAAAGCGGCCGACGCAGCCTGCGTAACGAGAAAACGGAAGAAAAAAACAGAGTGCAACAGCGGTGGCAGCAGCAAGAGCAGCCACAAGAAAACAACAAAACGACTATGTAGCAAACCTCGAAAAGGAGGTCATGAAAGCTTGTTACCCTTTCCTGTGTTTCCTTGAAAACTAGAATATCAATCAAATTGTAAATTCAATTAAAAACTGTTTTTGTTTTGTCAATAAAAATTGATTTCGTCCAATGTGTGAATTGAATATATTTAGTATGTTTCTTTAAACACATTTGCAGAATTACATTAATTTTTATTGACAGTTTACAATAAAAATAAAATTAGAATTAAATAATTTGAACCATGAAAGATTAGGAACTAATAAATAAGATAATACAATAATTAGAGTTTGTAATATAAGAGTTTCACTAAAAGTTCGTAGATCGAGTTTCTGTACACTCCATACGTTTGATATTCCAATTTTAGCCATTTAGAAATGAATTTTTTCGCGGATGATTAATATCGATAGTGGTTGGCAACGTTACAAGGTCTGGTTATCCTCCAGGACTATCTGTGTTTCCCATCGGTGGTCACGCCACGGCCGCGTCGTGAAAACAACAGGTGACAGGGGATGGAATCGGTTTTATGGGGGACGAGATCGCTGCCGGCGATTTTAATAGCACGAGTCCATTTACCAAGCCCCTATTTTCGTTTTATTTCGTCGGGAAAAAAGCTGCACTGATTGGTTACGAGATTTCCCTTAAAGAGAATACAATACACTCTATTAAGAGATAAATGACAAAAAACAAATAGACGATAGAGAATTCCTATTTCAAGTTGTTTAATAAAACTTTAGAAACTTTAGATTTTTTAGTTTTCGTTTGTGTTATGACATTCATACATTCCCTTCATAAGCCAATCAGTAGGAATTTCGTATAGCATTCAGAAAATTAAATATATTTCTCAGTTTTAAAAAATGATTCGGATAATACTGAAGCGAATAGTGAAATCCTTTTTGGAAAGAAGGAGAACGAGGGCAACGAGACAAAGTATCCTGGAATGAAGAAAGTGTACTTCAACCACGGACCGACTGCATTTACTTCAGAGGAAAATATTTAACTAGACTCGTCTAGGGGTTGGTACATTAGAATATTCAGACGAAAGATTCATAATACGAGACCGAAGCTGAAAAACTGGGCCAAGTTGGCAACGTATTCATAGAAACTTTTTTTATTGCGCGTTGAATTCCGTCTTTGGAATATCTATCTTGTACAGCTCAGGTGTAACCCACATTCTTTGACTGGTTATTCGAACCACGACGGCGCGGCATGCCCTAAAATAAATTATAAAGTAACCTGTAATTCACAAAGCCATCGTTTCGTTGTTTATAAAAAAGAATCCATGCCAAAATAAAAATACATTCATTACTCTATTATCTATAAAATTCTTTGAAATTCAGCGTCTCCCTCTTTGTCGAGCAGGATGCTCCATTATACTTCCAAGCTCTAATTAAGGACGCGGCGAAAAAACACATGCCGGGTCCCAGGGAAACAAAGGCGGCCATTCAATTCGTGAGGCTGACTAAGTGCTACCATAATTTCGTACACACACACGCACGCTTCGGGCGGCTCTTCTAAAAATACGTACGCTCGAAATTTCACTTCACCATTCTGTATCGCACTTCCGCAACTTCCGCGGCTAAACATTAACAAGTGTAATTACATCGTGCGTCGGGCGATGCCACCTACCTTCACCGGCCTCGCGGTATTGTCCATTTTCCTCTTAGGTTTTTGCCTAAGCCGACCCACCCGTACTCCCGTTTCCCTCAAGCTCCGCGGTTTACTCCGCGTCCGCGCTTCCGCCCCGTGTTCCACCTCCACCTCTTTCTCTTTAGCGGCGGCCTGTTCGAGTCGGACGCAGGCTAAAAACCGTATTAACTACCGCTTTAATTACCGGCGGCGAGTCGTGCTGTTTTACGCCGCTTCCAGGCGACCGTTTAATTCAAAAAGCGAGCAGAACGGCAGCCGTGCGACGATATAATTTTCGATATTACCGCCGGGATTGCTCGCCTCTGTTTTTTTTTTTCTTTCAGCCCCGGACGCTGATAAATCGCGGCTTGTCAATTAATTTTCTAATTAGCCCGTGGCACGTTGCACGAGATTGGTCGCCGCCAACCTCCACGGAATGCGGCTTCTTAACCAGTCACCCTCCTTTTTTACCTCTCGTTTCCTGGTTTCTTCTTAAACAGTAGATTTCTATCAGATCGCTTCTTTATACGGAGTAAATCGTTATTGGAATTCGTGATTAAACTTGTGTTACTTCTAAATAATTATAAAGTTAGTGTGTAATGTATTAAATGAATTAATTAATCAATTTTACGTTCAAAAAGATCGAGCAAATTAGAGATTTATAAAATAAAATGAAATCAATATTCTTTGATATTCGAATCTCCCTGCAGAATTCATTCATTCATTCTTAAACCTAGAAGGCTATCTGCATTGTCAGATTTCAATATTCACAAGTTTGACAATTTCCTTTGAATATTTTACCAATTACTTTTCCCCAGAAAAGAGAAATCGACGAAAGTGCATTTCAGTAATTTATCGGACAAATACAGGGCAATATTTGCTGTACATATTTTTCCATTTACGTTTCCGGGAACGAAAAATCCTCAAAAATGCATAGTCCTGTTGCGGAGGTTGAAATTGAACGGTAAAATAAAAAACAGGAGAGAAGAGAAAGAAATGCGCGAAGGCAGATTACAAAGGCGCGTGCTCGTCAACGATTACCGGTTTAAATGCATTCTGCAAAATAATGGAGCTAGCTAGTTTCTTTGTATAATACATTATGCATATTTATGACCTGCCCGTGACGAAACACGGGCAGGGTCGCTGTTTGGTACGCGTCGTTGAACCTTTTTCAATGTATGTATGTCATGGACGTCTGGAAAACATTGTACGCCATCGTTCCGGTCGCAAATACAATTTTGAACGCGTGTTTTACAATTCAGATAAAAAAATCAGGTCCAGAGAGGCAGTAGAAGCATTTGTGATTTTTTACAATTTTACGATATTGGACAATTCTGTGTAAAAGCATTTCAGTTAGCATTTACAATTCATATCGAACACCCTTTAAAAGTATAATACATAAAATCAAATCC